GTTTGGAAATCTGGGGGTATAGGCATATGGGGATATAGGGGTAGGAATGTAGGCAAATAGAATTATAGCGATATAATAGTATGGGGACATAGGGGTATAGGGACATAGGAGGTGTACATATAAGGACACAAAGATATTAAGACATAGGGACATAGAGATATAAGGGCATAGAAGTAGATAGGGTTATGTGGATGTGGAAGTATTTTAAGAATAAAGGGGTATCAGCATATGGTGTATAGAAATCTAGGAGTGCAGAGATAAGAGAGTCTAATAATTCGAGATCTAGGGATATAGAGGTAGGGTGTCACATAAACATAGGGGGATATATGTATACATAGAGAGCTAAGGATATATGGATTAGGTATTTGGGATTACACAAATGTAGCGTTGTAGAAGCATATTCATTTAAGAATATAGAGATTGATAGATTGATGAGCAAATACAATTCTCCTCATGCAATTCTTCATAGTTCAAAAAGGTACCAGTTACATTAAAACTTTAACACTCAGCAATTATCAAAATTATACAGATAAACCTAATAAAAATCAAATTGTTATTTATTTCTCTAAGCGTTATTGCTATTTATTTCTAGTTTAAACAGAAGTTCAAAATACCTGTTAGCACCGTATATTTGAACATGAACGCATGATACGATTTTATAGCCCAGATAGATAAATTCCAGTAGATCTATCCATATGATCGTTGAACCCGAATAACCATATGGGGATTTGGGATTCATCGGTTCGTGCCCTCCCCTGAAAATCCATCCCTGGTGGACGGTTAAAATTACAATTTCATTCGATCCACGTAGATAAGAGATCGGCAAACGACAAGCTGGCCGTAATGCCCGAGTAAATCCGATCGAATGGACCAGGTAACACGACCCACATCGCGATAAGTACTTTATAATCACCCTGTGCGTTGTTACGGCGCGAGTATAGGGTAGTTGCATTCCCATATAGCCGAAGGGGCAGACGGAGCCAGTTCGAGGGAGGTTAAGATGATAGACGAGTCGATACGTTCCCACGCGGTCCCGCGAACAAGTCTAAAAGCCGTTGCCTTCCACGCTCTTTTCTTCTGTTTTCTTGTTGTTGTTGGTGGTGTAGTGGGCGGTTATAAGGCCCCGGGGGCTCAACTCGGCCCCTAATCACAGGCTCGCCCTCGCTCGTACGCAGAACGTATGCGTACGGGTCTTCTTAAACGCCAGCGAGCTAAAAGCCGAGTAACGCGAACGTTCTTAAACACACGCTCTTGCCTCTCACTTCTTTTCTCCCTTCTTTCGTGCTTGCATTCTCCCTTTGTTTCGACCTCAATATAGCATTTATTAATCCTATCGAAAGTGATAGGAAATTCTGATCTTGTCAAAATTTCAACCCTTAAATCCCAGAACGCCTTTTTCCCACACGTCGACGTTTTTATGCCCCGCTTGATTTTGAATTTTAGATAGCAGATGTTAGGTCAGATAATCCCGGCGTTCGGTTTACTTTGTTTTTAAGTTGCGCGCCGGCGAGAACGTTTCCAGCACGGAACACAAAGATTATCTCTGATTTTCAGTTTCCACCTCTTTAATTTCCACGTCTTTTCGCCCTCTTACACCTTTTCGTCCTCGTTTGTTTCGTTTTGCGCCCGTTCCCTTTCATTCCCGGTATCTGCCACGATTCTCTCTCACACACGAGGGTGTATGCACACGATGCAAGAGAGAGGATGCACGTGTTTCACGTTGCATATTATATGTTCGCTCGACGCGATACACATGCGATTTACACGCACGCGAGGGATACGCTGAACGAACGAACGAACGGCTTACACGGCCGACGAAATAAAATTATCGCGAGAACGCTTTACGTGTTCTAAGGTAAATCTTCTTCGAACAGGGGGAAAAACGTTTAAGCATCAACTTTCACGTGGCCGTTGCTTTCGTTACGTTGTTCTTTACTCACCGTGGGAACACCCTTTCGCAAAAATGCCGGACAATTTGTTCGGCAACGTAAACATCGAATTAGCCATTTTGTTCCTGTCTAAGTTTCCTTACTTTTTTCTTTCTATCTGTTTCAATGAACTGTTTCAATGAACTGTCTTAATGAACTGTTTTAATGAACTGTTAAGTTAATAACTGTTTTTGAATATACAAAGAAATAAAGCAGTTAACTCGTTCAAAATGGTTTTGCCAACGAAGGGCCGCACAAAAATTTTTTAAAATATTTTGACAATTTTTATCTTACCAGGATTTCACTATAAGCATTGCTAAAGACACTCTGCTTTATTCCATTAATTCTGAGGCTTCCATAAAAAAGTTACAAAATAATTCAGCTAACCTTTCGACTCTAAAAAATTAAAAGTCGATGTACATAATTTTATAAATTAATAAAAGTGATAAAAAATTGATAGCGATCGTTGTGGCACGAAAGTTACACCGAAAACCTTAATAAACAACTCGTCGGTTGGAGTAATACTTTCAATATATTTGTACGTGCAGGCACCATCTCGAAAGCATCAATTTGCCCCGGCAATAATAGTCAATCATGATCATCTCGAACACGGGGATATTTGTTAAAGCAGTACTTCTCAGGCGAACCTGTCATTACCATAATGTACCGAAAATATAGATCACGAGAGGATAGGTGGTGTCGGATGATCCTCTTTGCACGTCGCCTGCGGAACTGACGAGCTAAAGGACGAAATTTATCGCTCGCTAATGCTCCTTAAACTCATTGGACGTAAATTTATCAGAGAAAGGCAAGGTTCCCGCGCTGTCGCCGCGGGGACTTGCCTTCGAAGCCGAAGAGGAAAGGCAAAAGGCAAAGAGGAACGAGCGTAACGACGCGGATATGATGGACGATTAGTCGTGTGCCAGGACTATTAGAGGAGTCAAGGTTGCCTCTTCCTATTTAAACGGCTATGGAGGATAAAAGAACCATCTCGCCGTTTTCTTACATTTTTAAGATGCTCTTCCTCTTGGTACTTTGCGATACTAAACGTTTCCTCAACGTTCTATTCCATTGGGATCTTTTATTCTCGGAATTTTAAGATTTTCAAATTTTTCAATTTCCAAATTTTTGCAATTCTTCTTAGTGGAAATTATCTATATTTTACAAATTAATTTATGAACACTTAATTTCACGCAGTCAACTAGGTTATGGCAAAATAGTTTTGAATATGGAATGTTTCTTTATTTCGGAAAGTTGCACGCTGTAATTTTGCAGAACTATTACTTTTGAGGTTTTCCATAATCGTACAAAGTTTCAAATCAATTCTCGTTTCCCAAGCTGTGTACTTTTCTTACCGCCATTTTAAATAGACCACCATCGTCTTAGAGATTAATATGAAGACGTTATTTGCTATAAATTTTTGCATTTATCTGCGTTATTACATAATAATCTTACATACACGACGAAAGGGTTGTAAGACGTCGACTACGCATCCCCCCGCTGACAATAAGTTTTATCGACGATAAACCATAATTAATTGAAACCTCGAGTTTGCGTGTCGAGCGATCATCAGCGCTACTTGTCACGATACTTTCACAACCTAAATTCACAACGTGTTTTAGTTAATTAATGATTTAGGCTCGCTTTACATTTTATTTGTGGTGTCCTTGGGTTCACTTATTTTTTCTTGCTTAATTTATGTAGAGCTTAATGAATCATTTAATAGGATTGAATATCAGCGAACGTAAGCAAGAATATTAATACGGTAAAAATATTTTGACTTACTGTTATTTAATTTAGTTTCAACGAGTGTAATTAGAGTTGAATGATGAATGTTTGCTATGGAAAATTAGCATAGATTTTATCATTAAAATATACAAAATTGTGTTAGGTTATTAGGTTCAATATTTAGTCATCAGTCAAATCTATCAGATCAGGTCAGGCTAGGTTAGGTAGTTATTAGGTAGTTAGGTTAGATAATATTAATTCAGTTTAAGATTATAGTTAGGATTAAGTACAAGATTAGGTTAGGTTACTATTACCAGTGAAGTCTGTCAGGTTAGGTTAAGTTATTATATTATATTAGGTTATATTATATATATTATTATCCGTTCAAATCTAACAGATTAGGTCAGGCTAGGTTAGGTAGTTAAGTTAGATCAGGTTAATTCAGTTTAAGATTACAGTTAGGATTAAGTACAAGATTAGGTTAGGTTACTATTACCAGTGAGGTCTGTCAGGTTAGGTTAAGTTATTATGTGAAATCAGGTTAGATCAGATTATTTTAACTCAGGTTAATATTACAGTTAGGATTAAATATAAGATTAAGTTAGGTCACTATTATCAGTGAAGTTAGGTTAACTTCATTCTATGAAGTTAGGTTAAAGTACCCATTTTTAGTTAAAAGTTATAAAAAGCATTTTTAAATCCTTCGAAAATTGAGATAAGCATTTTGTAACAAAAAAAAAATTTGATGAATAATAATTGGTAAATGAAATATGTAGAGATATCGTGTTATTGAAAAATCGACGCAAGCGATACGAGCACGAGACGATTCGATGGAAGCAGATATCCATTGTTAACGACCACGGTGGTAACAGTACCGTTAATATGTTTATTATTGGCCAACCCTCTAAAGTGGAAATGGTTGTGCTATTAAATCGTACCGTTGTCTCCCATAATCCCATTGAATATCATCCTATAACTCCGGCAGTATCGTTGTTTTATTTCTATCATATAAACGGGGAAATGCATCAATTTTCATGGCGTGGAATTCGTAGGTGTCCCCATTATTAATGGTTACGATGTCCTTTTTACTATTTCGCCGTTAAAGCGAATGTTTCTTTTCCATTATGCCGAGAAAGAGGATTATCTTTTGTACGGGAATCGAGCCGTGTCGAATTGGATCACGCCGAATTGAATCGCATCGAATTAAGTTACGCCGAGTTGAATTGCCTCGAATTGAATCGCGTCGAATCGAATTACGTAAAGTCAAAGCAAGGCATCGATATCGTATTCCGATCGCTCGCATCAAATTCTCGATATTACCTCATGATTTCTGTAAATTTTCAGAGCACCGTGAGAGAACCTGTTGTGTCCCGAAGAACGATGGCGAGGAAGTGTGTCAAGCGTAAACGATATCCCGGTACGAAGGAAACACCGTTGGAAAGTCAGTTCTGGACGCGATCGCCTACAAGAACATCGATCCGCCACCAAAGTCGGCCGAAAGAAACCGATCGTCGCCCGTATCGATCGATTTCAACGATATCACCCTTCATACTCGATTAATTCGAGCGTCGAACTCCCGGGAACAACATCAAACGACATCTCGTCCAAACAACCCATCCATCAACGTTCTAATAAATCACGAAAGGATATTCGGTCAATTAATTCAGGATGGAAGAGATCGAAGGTCGGAGATTTAAGGAGATAGAACTTGATTAAGACTTTGCCTGACTGTAATTGCATCGAAGAATGAAGTGGTAGCAGAAAATTAACGGGAGAAGATATCCCGAAGAGGGCTGGAAGTATCCTGGCCTATTAGAAACGCTTTTCCGTGGCAAAAGGGGCCGGGATTAATATGTGCTTTGGACGAGTGCCGCGAGCTGGAAGTTGCGAGAGCGGCGAGAACTCCGACGACAGCTGTCGAAAGGAAGACGAAGGGATAGTGGAGGAGCCGTGGAGAATCTATCCCGCGGGAATGGGTATGCTTCTGCCCGACGAGACGTACGAGGAACGTTCCTCGTCCTCGAGACGAAGCTCTTGCCCTAATGTTCTCGCGGACATCGACGAGGTCGAGGCAGCCAAGGCTTTGGCCGCGTTCAGAAAGTGCGACGAGTTCCTCAAGAGGCACGGGATCAGGCCCGAGTTCTTCTGCAGGCACAGGGAACGTCTCGCGCTGCAGACTTGGCTCTTGCAGAGATCCAAACTATCTTCCGGTGAGTTTTCCGACTTAACTTTCTGCTTGAAAATTTTCTCGATGTAAAACAGTTCTAAGCCCATATGGGTACCTTCATATAACAACTAAAGGATGGTGAGAACAAAGCGTAACGTGTTTCATAAGTGTCATAAACGAGCAAAGCTGCGGTTATCTGCTTTTGTGAGATTTCCTATAATCGTGTAATATTCATCGTAACTTCGATATAAACACTATAAGCGAAATAGAGAATATTCGTGCATGTGTTAATGTTTCTATTACCATGCGAGAATCTATCGACTTCCGTGCATTGTAGCAGATGAAGGTTTATAAGTGATTTAATCCCTCCGAGGTCCGTGGAGGCTCCACACACGTTGCAGAACTTTACGGGGATACACGATGTATCTGGCTGGTACAAGTTTTCATGTACCCAGTAATAGATTTAGTTGGGAAGAACGAGCGTATCGGGGCTGACAATTTACACGAGCAACGCGTAGACCGATTCAAGCTGGTTCCATGCATCGAAAATAGGAACGGTTCAATTGACCGATCGGACACGACCAGTTTATCGACGTTTCTCGTTACTTTCATCCACGGTTATTCCGTTGCGGCGATTTTTTCGCACAATGGAACGCGTCGTTTTGGTAATTGGACACTCTTTTCCCTAGATTTACGCGCTCTCCCCGATGAATCCGAACGAGTCTGCACAGATTTACATGTACGCTTCGTGCCACGATCCTTGTTCCTCGAGAGATGGAATACCTTCTTTTATTTTATACGGTTATCGACTTTTGTTGGGAAATGGTTTACGTTGCTGGAAACTTTTTTTCTTAAAATATTAGTAAATGACAATATTAATACATGTGGACATTTTAAATGAAAGTTATGTGGTAACATATATGATCTTTTTATTTGGCCAATTCACATGATCTTGTTGATCTGACCTCGATGATTTTGAAAAGTGATTATGAGCAAATTTTTTAACAGGACATATCTTTCTCTACGTGGATCAATTCTTTGGAATATTCCACGTGAAAAAGTATTGAGGTATGATATTAAAAAAATTAATAGTTCGTGAGATATTTTAAAATTAAGAAACAAGACATTTCAAAAGATTGAAATATCTGAAAAATTGTTTATTTTTTGGTTAATGTACCCTAACACGTTTTCGTGTAGAATACCTCAAAGAATCGATATGACACCCCACTTAAAAGTTTATTTACAAACTCCATAGTGTTCAAGATCCAAGGTCAAAAGGTCAGCAGTATCCTCTTCGGTGTCACATTTCCTTCAAAATATTTATTGTACACCTTATTGCAGAAATAAGCAGTATAATTTAAAATGAACGAGCAAGAGTATATTTAAAACAAATTGTTGGTTCGTTTAAAAGTTCCTAACGTTTCCCGATAGCCTTTAAAGCTGAAAATTTCAATGTCGAATGACTAGCCAGAATTACGAGCAGATTGCCGGACAAGTGAAATGGTCGAATAAAAAAAGAGCGACAAGCCGATTCGGTGACACATTATTGAAAAGTTTCTGTCACATAGAACGGTGTTCACGGTTGATGAAACGACGCCAATTGTCCGCCGCAAACTGTTTGCCAATTTTTGCGAACGCCAGGGAAACGTTTAAAGCGATCGATAGTACGCGCGTCCGGTCGGCTCCTCTCTCTCTTTGATGTTAATTTCGATTTCGACCAGGGGCGGTGCCGATAATTTCGTTAGCCGGGCCGTACTTAACGATCGCGCCGCTGAAAACGCGTGAATTTCGATGTCCCATCGACTATCAGCCGGCTACGGGGGACGAGGCACAGGGAGGCATTAATTTTTGTTTTTAACGAGCTTTACGTATTTATGCAGGGACGCGCATTAGCGCAATTGATTTAATGGCCGACATTAATCGAGCCTGTTCAAGCTCGTGTAAATTATGAATGTAAAAGTCAATTTGCCATACTGTTGGCTGCGTCAACTTCACGACTCTCGCACCCTCGTCGTGTTTCCTTTATTTTTGTTCTTCTCTTTTATTTTTTTCACTCGCCTCTGATCGACCGTATTTAACGAGTAAACAACTCGTTCGCGTATTCGAGCACTTTGTAATTGCAGCTCACGGTATTTGCGAATTTGTATCGTTCAATGGATCGAATAAAAAATACGGAAGCGGTTTATAGGTATTTCAGGATTTTGTTCTTCCGAATTGTCAACTTTTTGCTTCAAACATTTTTTAAAAAAGGGACATGGAGCTGGAGATGTAGAATTGTGTTCATGTAGACATCTAGGGTGGAAGTGTATGGAAGTGTATCTTGCTTAGGGCTGTACTGATTTAGAACAGGCTTTTAAGGATGCATCAGTCTGTGATATACAAAAGAAAGGATGCAGACATGTTAAAATGTAGGAACATAAAAATTATTGAATACATAATTTGTCTGAAGTAATAAAAATCTGAGGACATGTATTTATTATATTCCTCATATCTACGAATGTGATCATCCAACAACATAGGTGTTCGTATAGAGATCTAGAGACACACAAACTCATAAATGTAATTTATAATTTTAACAATAATTATTCGTTACAGTACCCGAAAATGAAAGATATTACATGAGAAGTACTTCCATATGAAACACCCCGTATATATTTGAAGTAAAAAGGGCACGTTTAAGAGCGACGTTTACATCATCATCGCGAAGCGAGTTAGCGTATCAGAGAACTAGTTGGACAGGGTAATCTTGTCTGACACGCAGAACAAAATACCTAGCGAGTACACAAAGTTTCGTGGTACCGTTAGAGTTGCCCTTTCTGTTGGATCGTTAACGAACATCCGGCCTTTTTGTGATAATTTGCTTTTGACGATTCAGGGTTTCATCTTTTGACCCGTGAAATTACTTCGCGGTCGAAAATGATGCCGCCAGCAGGTTTGGAATTGATTTGTCGCTTTCTGAATTGCGATGATATAACGCGTGGCGTTGCAAGGTATCGATCTTCTGGTGGTCTTTTTGCAGTATTATACGCTAATAATACTTTAACAAATTATTGCATTTATGTCTGTATGAATGTGGCAATATAATGAGGGTTTACTGTAATTATAATGAAGTTATTGTTTGAATGGGGCAATATAATGAGAGTCCACTGTAATTATAATGAAGTTATTGTTTGAATGTGATAACATAATGAGAGTCTACTGTAATTATAATGAAGTTATTGTTTGAATGTGATAACATCATAAGAATCCACTGTAATTGTAATGAAGTTATTGTTTGAATGTGATAACATAATGAGAGTCTACTGTAATTATAATGAAGTTATTGTTTGAATGGGGCAATATAATGAGAGTCCACTGTAATTATAATGAAGTTATTGTTTGAATGTGATAACATAATGAGAGTCTACTGTAATTATAATGAAGTTATTGTTTAAATGTGATAACATAATCAGAGTCCACTGTAATTATAATGAAGTTATTGTTTGAATGTGATAACATAATGAGAGTCTACTGTAATTATAATGAAGTTATTGTTTGAATGTGATAACATAATAAGAGTCCACTGTAATTATAATGAAGTTATTGTTTCAATGTGATAACATGAGAGTCTACTGTAATTATAACTAAGTATTTTTATCTACATTTTGAGTCATAATTTTACGTAATAGTTGTACAAAAATTTTCAAAAATATTAAAAAAATGAAAACGTGTCTAGGCGTCCATTTTTCTCTTCTGACCAATCGAAGCTTTCTTCGCGCGCCATCTCGTGACATCGGTATACAAGGAATGTGAAAGGATATTTATGTAGAATAAACGAGGTGTTGCAAATGAATGATTCAGCGGTCGTAGCTATTTATTATTGACAAAGTGAAAAGGATAGATTTAGTATAAGTCTATCTCCATTCATCAATGGCAACCGTATTCTTCATTTCGATTCAACGAGTCTCGTAATCTCGTTATCATCCCTCGAAGTTTCTCGCCTGCCAACGTATCCTCTCAATGCGTAGATCACAGAGATAAGTTTCTTCCCCTTTAATCACGGCCAGATAAACTTTTCTTTTCAGCCGGCCGGACGAAAACAGAAGGACTTTCGGCTCTTTAAGCGTACAGTAACTATTCGTAGTTTCGCAAGAGCGAAAACTTTCATGCTCGCGTTCGTAAACTTTCTTGACTATCAAACCATCGCTACCCTTATCTTTCATCTTTTACGTTTCAATGTCACTCTTTACAAGTTTCCATTTAAACGTTAATTAAATTAACCTTGTCGCTTCCAATTTTTGTTTGTCGTGAATTGAACAATTTTTTAAGTGCAAGTGTATCTAAATTTGTAAATTTGAAGACATTGGTGTAGGGTTGTGAAAAGTTGAAGATATGAAGATTTAGTGATCAGGGGATATAAAGATTGGAGACTTAGAATGTTGAAGGTGTAGTTGTCAGTGGATTTAGAGGTTTGGATATGTAGAAACTTGAAGTTTTAAGGATTTAGGAATTAGGAGATTTGGGTATTTAAGGCTCTGGAGACTTAAAGACGTGAGAATTTAATGATCAGGAGATGCAGGGAATACAAATTGAAGGATTTGAAGATTTAAGGATTTAGAGATTTAGCCATGTGGATTCGGAGGACGCATAAATACGTGAACATAGAGATATAGGAATATATAGGAATGGTATTAACGCGAATTGGAAATGTTATTTGAAATCCTGTTGCGTATTTGTATCGATTACCCGTTGGATTGGAAAGAAAATAGAAACGGACGATCGGCAGTCCGGAATACACAATTTTGTCGGTGACGTTGTTCGTTGTTCCTGCATCAGAATATAAAGGCTGTGTAATTACGGGCACGAAATTACACCGTGTTTTATAATCAACGTAATCATATGCTGCGCGCGGCAACGAACAATTAACGTCCACGTATCGGCCGGCCATATTTTATCATATTAATCGAACCTTCGCGGTATTCTATTCACGATTTCGCGAATTTTCGATACTTTGTAGTTTCTTTACAGCCATTTGTCGGCGACGCGGCGTTACCCAGCGGCATC